ATGATAATGACTTGAATTTTGGATTCTGCCCATCATCTCTACAAACATTTGAAGGAAAATTTATCAAAAACGTCCCCAAGAGAAACATTTCACGCATTTATTTGAGTTAATTTCAAAAAGCTTGTCAAGGGACTCACAATGAGTTAGAATAGTTGACATTATAGATGGCTTTTGATAAATATGTGAACCATTAAATAGTTTGTATTTTAGTTGTGTTTTGATAAATTTCTCATATTTGAACAAAGAAAGTATATATATAGAAAATTTATTTTTAATATAAGTAGGTTACGATCACTCTTGTCTGCTAGATTTCAATCGGGTGGTTGTGAGTGTGATGTTGACTAGTTTCAAAGTTAAAAAAAAATTATCAAACTTTGTGACACAGCCCAAGCCATCCAATTTGACATCTATTAGTTATTGACATTGTGACCTCCTTGTAAGAAAGATAAGTTTCATAGTGTTGTAGCTTCTGCAGAGTACTACAATAACACGGGTCCAAAAACGAGTATAATAGAACGATTATAACGGTAACGGCTATAAAAACACAAAAATTGGTGTATTACCTCCCAAGAACCAAAAATGGATTTAATAAAAAGAAAATTGGGAAAATAAATAGAAATAATATAAAATGATAGAACAATCAGTTTTCTCACACTGTTTAAAAGGAGATCTTTTAATTAAAAAACATCATCATCACACACATTGTTATTGACTTTATGGTATTTTCCTTTTTAAGTACTGTTCTATTTATTTAAACTATGACCAGATCTCATGATGGAAAAACCATCTTATGCATGCTATGTATCCATTAAAAACGACCATTTTTGTTTATCTTTTTTTGTGAATGTTGATTTTCACCTTTATTATTTTCCTAAAAAAGGATATTCAATTATATATTTTTGGAAAAAGTTTATATAAGTGTAAAGCTCTAAACAATTAAATTAAAGTGCCCCTCAAAAATTTCACTAGAAGAGGTGGTTTTTATGCTCAAATATCCTCATGGTGAGGTCTCGGACTCCATTCTCACCAAAAGGTAGGGGCTCAAATCTCCACTAACTTACCACTTTTGAGAATGGGGTTGGGGTTGTGGTGATAGTACCATTTGTGTCTTAGCCAAGGTCTAGTCTTCTATTCTTACCCATAGCATTAAAAAACTGTTAACGATTTAAAGAAAAAAAAAAAATGGGGTAGGGATTCGTCATCTCCACTGAATTACCCAAAAAAAAATGAAAACACCTTCAGGTTTCCTCCATGTTCATGTTTACAGGGACCATTTTGAAAAAAAAAAATCTTAAAAAGTCCAAAGAGAGATTTAACAGAGGATTTCCCAGGGGAAAGAAGCATGATCCTTAGGAGGAGAGAAATGACTAGGGTTAAAACATACTCATTTTTAGAGAATAAATTTTCTATCTAAGATCTTTCTCACAAAAAAAATGAGGTACAAAAGAGGATGATAGAAAGATGTCACCCCAACTTGGTGCTGAATTGCTGGAAATCATTGGGGATGCCTGGAAATTAACTCACAAGGACTCACCCCAATTTGGGGGTCAATTGTTGGAAATCATTGGGGATGGAAAAGTATCCTGGAAATTAACTCACAAGGATTCAAATGAGCCGCAAAGAGTAAATGATTTGCATATCCACGTTGAAAAGAAAATCCCAGATTTCTACCTGCTCAGGACATGGATCTCTGCAACTACTCCATTGGATAAGTTTCTTTTTAAACTACTATCAAAGTTTAAGTTTCAAAACTCCATCTATGATGCCTGATATTGTTCAATGAGGACATATTTACAACCTCTATGAAGTTACTTTGAAAATCATTTGAGAATATGCAACATTGAAGTCCGAAAATGTTTTCGAGGATTGGGCAAGCGATAATAGCAAGAGTGCTGAGACGTGTTGGCTCTGAAAAATATATTTTTCCTCTCTAACCAGAGATGAAGACCATTTGCTCTACCTGAATTTGCTTGCATCATTTTGTGATTTCATTTTCTCAAAGGCCATTGACAACTCGTGGCAAAGGGTCAGGTAAAAACCAACTCGAAGTCGTTCTATCTCGATTGGAGTACTTAAACATTGATTAATCCTAGGGAAGATTCAAAAGAGATCTATAGATAAAAACCAGGCCGATATCAATTGTGCCATGGTCATGGTCCATTCATCACTGAGTTTCGTTCAATTTATAGGATGTTTTTTCAGTATCTTAAAAAATATAAAATGTGCCATGGTCATGGTCCATTCATCACTGAGTTTTGTTCAAATTATTGGATGTTTTTTCAGTATCTTAAGAAATATAAAATGTGCCATGGTCATGGTCCATTCATCACTGAGTTTTGTTCAATTTATTGGATGTTTTTTCAGTATCTTAAGATACAGGAGTACGCTGTCTATTTGCTCTCTTGGAGTATTTTCAGGGGATTGTATTCCAGAAGATGAGTGCCTTTAAGAGACAACGGTCACAAATACCCGAAGCTGTAAAACATAAAATTGATGCCTAAAGTGTATCAATTGAAGAAATTTTACTTTAACGAGTGATTCTTTTGTCACAAAATGTAAAGAGTT